TAGTTCTTTAAATTTTTGATGTGCATGAATACATCTTTTGAATTTTTTGAAAAATTTTTTCAAAATATCAAAAACTGCATGGAAATCATTAGTGAGTTTTCAATCAACCAGATTAAAAAGATAGAAATCAATAATTAAGAAAATGTCAAACCAGGTTTAACAGAAATTTTACTTTTTGAATTTTAACTTATTTTTAATTACTTGAAACTACTTTTTTGGCATATTGATATGATTTTAATCTAATTTCATCACCATTTTCTAAATAATTTGGTACTTTCGCCTTTGAATCAAGTCATATGAAATTCAATACTTTTCCTTCCATGAGGATTTAAATATCAACTCTTAGTTTCTGGCGATTTTGTGTGCACTACTCTAATATGGAAACAACCGACAAAATTTTGGAGAGTTTTTAAAAAAGTGTATTTTGTTATTATTTTCTTAATTAACATATACGAATACTTATACTTTTAGGTTCATATGGCTATAGAGGTAAGTTAAAGCAATATTCAAACTTTCAAATAAAGTTTAAATATTTTACTCTAAGAATTCTAAATTAATCACTAAATATTTTTCTCCCTTTAAGATTACTACGATTATTTGGGTAAATATAAAATATGAATTTTGTTATTAAAGAGGAGAAAATAATATCTCATTCATTTAATAGCATAAGTTATGGAATTATTAATAAAGCAGATATTTATTAACGTTAATTAATTTTGACTGTTAATTCTAGAATTACATAGTACCTGGTATCCCGTAAAAACTGAGGATTTAAAAATAAATGGAATAAAGCGGAAGGAGATGAAAATTAATAAAAATGCGGACGGATACTTTTTGTTTGAAATTTCAAACTATATAAAAATTTAATCAAAAATGACAAATTTTTTCTTAAACTGCATGTTCTTCTATTCTAGCAGAAGTCTTTGTACTGGTGTCTTTAATTTTGTCCTCAAACTGTATAACGTAGTTGCTGAAAATGGCGTAAATTTTACGATATATATATATATTGTTTTATAGTTCTTGTCAGTTAACAGCGCCATCTGTAGAAAAACTTTGAAACTAATTTGGAAATTTTGTGATAAGAAACATTCTTAAATAGAACAAAGTAAACTGAGCATTTCTAAATTCTTCCGTTTTTCTTTCATTATGTTTTCAAATTATGGGTTAATTTTAAGAAACGCTATATCTATGATAAACAATTCTTATCATATTCTTAAACAGAACCAAGTGAACTGAACATTTCTAAATTACTCCGTTTTTCTTTTATTATGTTTTCAAATTATTGGTTAATTTTGAGAAACGCTGTGTCTATGATTCACTCATTCTTAAGTTTAACATCTTACGTAAATGTTTTTTTGAATCATTAATATTGACTCATGAATATTAATTATATATATTACATTGAATTGAAGCATTATTATTATTAATATTATGAATTTTAAGTGAATATGAATACAATGGTAAACATATAATGTAAAGCATCTAATTAACGTGAAATTCATTTTTTTACATCCTTTACATATTATTTTTCGCGTATTCTAGAAGTTTTTCTAGAATATAGTTTTCTAGAAGTAGTTCTATAAAAACATTGTTGTTAACTGAAGTTTTATGACAAAGAATGCTTTCAATTTTAGATAACTATTATTTTGGTAAGTAAAATATCTTAGTTATTGCCAGTAAAGGTATTAAACATCGCTTTATTAGTTGAATAATAATTTGTTTATTATTCAACTATATCTATTTTTTTAGAGATTCCAATTTGCCTATTTAATTGAAGTTTATTCCATAACTGTATAATTTATAGTAGTTAACTTATACATGATAAAGGAATTTCTGGAAAAATATTTTAGTTATTAAAAACTATTAACCACTAGTTCTTTAAATTTTTGATGTGCATGAATTCGACTAAAATTTCTTTCTTAAAATTAAAACTAGTTTTCTTCTCTTATGTATGTTTTTTTCTATAATTAATGTCCCTTTTTTGCGCTATACTAAATAATTAATGTGAGAAATATTTAGAAGCTCGTCATGCCTTTCCTTGTGCATAAATGTTGTATTTGGTATAAATATTGATCATAATAATATTTCCTACATATAAATATTCATACTTAATAACTAAGATTACTTTCCATTTTAGATGAATATGGGCTAAACAGTAAGTAAAATATGTTAGTAATTACCGTCAAGAGATTCGTATTAATCATCTTTAAATCATGTTTTTTTATTTGGGAAGATTTTCATCTTTCTACCTGCTTATTTATTGTTTTTCACTGTATAACTGTACAAACTATGCATTCAATAAACATAAATATGTATAAAAATAATAATGCGAACTAATGAATTATTTGAAAATTTCAATTTTAGGTGCTTATGAATACAGATGTAAGTATGTCCTATTCATAAGGACTACGAGTTTAATTTAAACGTACCTTACAGTAAAATAACAATTATATAAATTGTTATTTAGCCATTTTTTTTTATTTTTGCATATTTTAGAAGTGTTTTGTGTTTCTTCGCACGAAGATATTATATTTTCCAAAATTATATAGTTTATAAAAGCTGTCATGCACTGTTAGAAATTTATCAGAAAAATGGTTAAATAACAATTTATATTGTTGTTATTTTGCCATATTCAAACGAAACGGCCAAATAACAATAAATAAGATGGTATTCAAACTGCTAACTGTTAGAAAAACCTTTTATTAACTGCTTTCACCTAATAGGGTTATACAACCAGAATTTTATCTCACTAATTTGGTCCATGTAATGAAGCCACTTAGTTCTTTGCAGATGTGTTCATATTATAGACGATAGGGCTAATCGGTCATTCCAGTGTCCTTCACTTCCCAATTTGAGACTCTGGAACATCAATATACGAAACTCTCATTCACTCATAGATATCAGTATCATAAAGCTACTTCATTTTTACAGTTTTGAAGCCATGTTAGTTGTAAATGGTTAAAAAACCCTATAGTTTTGTAGTCATGCTTTTTTTTTTAACTACAATAGTTGTAAACGATTTCAAAATCGTAAAGGTAAAAAATGTTCATTACCATAAACTTTACGGTTAATTGAATAGACCGACTGCTGCCGGTTATTTACCATAATTTTTGACTGAAAATTCTAACAGTATCTAATTTAGGATATCAAAGTTATACAATGATTTCGTTAATTTTAAAACATTTTAAAAAAGATGTTGCAAATTGAAGCTTACTTACTAAGAATACTTTTAGTTTTAGATGACTATGTGTATAATGGTAAGTAAAATGATCTAATTATTACCAGCATGGAATTTGTACTAAACATTATAAAATCTTATTTGTTTATAATAGAAATTTTCATGTTCCATTTATTTAGTTAATGAAGTTCATTCTATACGGAGGAAAAGGTTCTGGTCAAATTGCCATACTGTATGGTAATGATATTTCTTGTAAAAAAACATAATTTTGTTTAATTAAACTAAAAAATATATATTAAAGCAATTCATTAGGTAATATTTCCGTTCATATGGTAACGGTTAACTAGAAATTCTGGTTTTAAAATTTATAGTTCTTATTATTACACAGTTAGAAAAAAAAATTTAACTGAAGGAATTTAACCGGATAAATGTTTTTTATTCCATGCCTTAAGGTATCAGGATAAACTTATAATATTTTCTCTCATTTAAAAATTTTATCACACATTATAAAACCATATTTTATTATCAATTTTACCAAAATCTTTACAGAAAATCTTTATCAAAATTTTGCCAGAAACATGATAAATTCCATTGCATAATTTGTTTTTGCAGTTCACGGATAGCGATAATTTATGTTTAATGCTTTTATTCTTGATTTATATTTATTTGATTCAAAATGATTTTGACTGTTACGAAACAAAAGTTAAGACCTTATTTGAATAGTGGACCAAATCCTCTTATTAAAATATTGAATTCTTAATTTCATGTTAACAGGAGTCACTCCTCTTCCTTTTTAAATCTAGCACACCTTCAACCTTTTTTTCCAGTTAATCAGAGGACACCGCAAAAAAGTAGACTAAATCCTCTTATTTCAATACTGAATTCGTACTTTCATGCCCAAGCGAAACACTCCTAGCCTATTTTGAAACGAATACACCTTCAACTTTTTTCTGTAATCAATCAGAGAATACTACAAATCAGACAACACGGGAATTTACTAAACTTTTAGAGGAAGTTGGCCCACTATTCAAATAAAGTCTTCAAATAAATAAAGCATGCATATAAAACTTAACAAACATGCATATACCTGCTCATAAAATCTGTAGAATCGAAAGTACTGTAGTCAGTCCATCGGTACAGGAATCTGGAAAAAATTTCCTTCCCCTTCAAATCCATGCCTAAATTGAGGAAGTTGTCTAGCGAATGAGTGATGCTGCCTTCTATTCGTGGGGTTCTGAACCAAGATGCACTTTTCACTCTTGCCGTGTTCTCTTGTCAAACGAAAGGCACACCTTTCTAACTTAAATCACATAAGACCAATGGCCGGGGAGCTTGGTTTGTCCAAATCTCATTAGAAACAACAACAACAAACACTCAAAGATTTTTTTAAAAATTGCTGGCTATTTTTTCTCTGTTTATGTTAGTAATTATTTTACTTTCATTGAAAAAACTCTTCTCCAAAAAACGCTGTAGCTATGCTTTTATTTTTTTAAAGAACTATGTGTTATAAAATTATTAAGTAATTTATAATGTGTATAATAAAAGATAATTATCTATATTTTTTAATATTTGATGTAAATGTTTATGGAGGCAAGTTATAAACTCTACTTATCATTATCCAAATTGCTTTACTTCTTAATTATTATTCGTGCATTAAATCTCTAATTAGAAAATCTCTAATTAGAAAAGCCCTTAGTATTCAGACAAAATGATATATTTTAGTCACTGGTATAACATTATAAATAATTATTATTATAATTACCTTGCTTCATCCAATTACTGATTGTTATTCTTTCGAAAACTATATAATTTATAATGGTTAACTTCTGCAAGCATTCAATATACAACTTTTTAACAAAATGCTATAGTGATATGAATGATAATTAGTTCCAATACAATTAAATTTCAGATGGCTATGAATACGAAAGTAAGTCAACTACATTTACTACTAGATAGATAAATATTTTAAACGATACAACTATACTTATTTAAAAAACATGTATTATGTATGTTTTGCTTTGTAATTATTTCTGGCAATAAATAATTTATGCTGGTTAATTAATGCATCCACTAAATAATAAATTATTCAGCGAATATTATTTTGACACAAAATGATGAACATTATTTTGACTAACTATTATGAACATCCTTAATTTTAGGTGAATATGAATATAAAGGTAAGTGAAATGTTTTATTTATTATAATCCAAGCGAAAGAGCTAAGTAATATGTTAATTCCCTTGACATAAAGTAATTTGAATAGACATTTAATAAATAGTGAAGAAGCAATCTTTTCAGATATTTAATAAGTTTGACCCTTTTTAACTTCATTTTAGGTGACAATGGATATGGAGGTGGGTAGTTCAAGTGAAATAATAGGCATTTATAGCCTTTTAATATAATTTAAGTCTCAAATATAAGGGCAATCCTCTAATCCTATTCTCTGTAAATATCTTTATTAAATCATTTACTTGGGAAAAAACGTGTTATGGTCATTTTCAAATTGATTCCAATTGAAAAATAAATATTACTTAATAACATTAAATACTCTTAATGGCCATTGAAATCCAAGCTTACTATGGTATGTGATGGTTGCATTTTATATTTAATCAAATAACTTTTAAATGTAATTGACCTTTTTCGAATAAGATACAAATACTTTCAATGGCCATTTAAATCTAAATTTAGTATAATATGTGATTTTTAAGTTTTATATTTAGCCAAACAATTTTAAACGCAATTGACCTTTTTCAAATAAGATATAAATACTTTCAATGGCCATTTAAATCCAAGTTTAGTGTAATATGTGCTGTTTAAGTTTTATACTTTGCCAAACAATTTTAAATTTAAATGTAATTGACAATTAAATTAAATAAAAAAATTTAATTGACAATTAAATGTAATTGACAATTAAATTAAATTAAAATATTTAATTGACAATTAAATTAAAAGATTTAATTAACTAGTAAAAGTAATTGGCAATTTAATTCCGAGTTTACTATAATATGAGATGTTAACTAAATAATTTTAAATGTAATTGACCTTTTTCATATTGTGAATTGTTGATAAATCGCCAAATAATGGATATTTTCCCATAATGGACCCATAGTGGACTGATCGTAACACACGGTTCTCAGTAGATCACCGAAGTCAACCACCACTGTCAGCGGTCATTGAGCAGATGGGTGAACACTTCGATCAGCCTGTGAAGGGGCCGAGAATGATAATATCTGTTTTCGTTAAACTGTTTTATCGTCAAGTGGTCGATTTCATGCGCAGGTACGCTAACGCAGCAGGGTGATATCTTCTTTGCAGAGGATTAATATTGTGATGGTATCATTCAGATATATCATATTCCGATCATCTTCAGATATGTTTCCCAGACTGTCGCCAATAGCCCATTATGGAACTCTAGTGCAACATAAATAATCAGCTAATATAACCAAAATTTAATACTTCCAAATTGAGAGTGTTCATGTTTATCATTTATTTGTAGTTTCTGAAGGTGTACCAGTTTGTAAATAGGTTGTCTTTAAAAAATCCTTCTTGAAAGATGTTCCTTAAAAATATTTACTTATTTTATGTGATGTATGTGTTTTTTTCATATTCCTAAAATTAAACAATTGAAAATAATCACACAGGATCAATTATCGTCCTATAACTATTGGAAAATTGAATTACTCGAATACTTCTCCGATATTCTACTACCAAATAATTACACCAAAGTAATATGACATAAAAATATTGATTAGCAATAGCAAAGATATACTTTTTAACTAGTCCTTTTATTTTTATAGTTTAATGGATCCAACATAGTATTTTGATTGAAAAGTATCTCATTCGTTTGATCTAGACTGCAAAAATTCTGTTTTGGTTAATTTTGTTGGAAATATGTTTTTTTAATAGCTATTTTAATGCACCAAAAAAGAAAAAAGGAATCATTCTCCATTCTAATTAAAGTTCAAAGGCATATCCTATTTCTGAAGTTTACTTATTTGTTATATCTTAATTTTTAGATGACTACGATTATCAAAGTAAGTTCAAAGTAACCACTTTTCTCCATTCTGTAAGCGTTTTTTCTACCAGAGACATATTATTTTCATAATAATAATAATAATAATAATAATAATAATAATATTAATAATAATAATAATAAAACAATTAAGAGAAGTGTTTTTTAGTAGTAGTTCATTATACGCAGAGCTCATTCAGATAAATCAGTCTGTTTTCCGTCTCACCAAAAAACAAATAACTTTACTCATTTACTTAAAAACTTCTTATTTCTTAGGACTCTAACAAAAAGAATTTTTCTTTTGTTAAATTAATTTATAATGCAAGAATTCATCTCATACAGTGACGCCTAAACAATAGTTCACTATTTGTTAAGATGAGTAAAGTTATTTTTTTCATATAGTAGTAAATAATTTTATTGTCTGTTTTATGCTTCACAAAAACAAGTATGTAATCGCTTATAAAGTTTTTTATTTTAAATAATTTCCATAAAATTGGAATTTTTTCTTATGATGATGATTAGTATTTTTAAAGATATTTTGCATTGCATAAGAATTTATTGTAATTTAAGATGCTAGAATTTTTAATATGATGACGTAACAAACCTAGAACCAAACAATAAGAAATCTAGTTATTTTACTTTTAAAAAAAATGAAAAGGTGTACTAATATATTTACATTTTATCATTTCTGTTATTTAATAGCAGCTTATTCTGTTTCTTGAAATCGAAAAGACTGTGATTATTCCTTGTTCTGCAACAAATTTAATATCGCTAGGAACTTAAGTTACTTGAAAACTGTTTCTTAGAAGTCAAAGAAAAAATAATTTTTTCCCTGAGATGATTAAAATCTTACATTAATTTTACTTTATTTAAGATACAAGAATTCATCTCATACAGTGACGCCTAAACGATAGTTCATAATTTGTTAAGACGAGTTGTTAAGACGAGTGTTTTTTTTTTATGTTGCAGCCTATAATTTTATAGTTTGTTTTATGTTTCACAAAAAACAAGTATATAATCGTTCATAAGTTTTTTATTGTCCTTAAATCCTATAAAATTGGAATTTTTTCTTATGATAATGATTAGTATATTAATTGATATGTTGCATAGCATAAGAATTTATTGCAATTTGAGTTGCTGGAATTTTAAATATGATGATGTAACAAACCTAGAATCAAACAGTAAGAAACCTAATTGTTTTACCTAAAAAAATTGAAAAGGGGAACTACTACATTCAAATTTTTTCGTTTCTGATATATTGCATAGCATAAGAATTTATTGCAATTTAAGATGCTGGAATTTTTAATATGATGACGTAACAAACCTAGAACCAAACAGTAAGGAACCTAATTGTTTTACTTAAAAAAATTGAAAACGGGAACTACTATATTCAAATTTTTTCGTTTTTGATATATTGCATAGCATAACAATTTATTGCAATTTAAGATGCTGGAATTTTAATAAGATGACGTAACAAACCTAGAACCAAACAGTAAGAAACCTAATTGTTTTACTTAAAAAAATTGAAAAGGGGAACTACTCTATTCAAATTTTTTCGTTTTTGATATATTGCATAGCATAAGAATTTATTGCAATTTAAGATGCTGGAATTTTTAATAAGATGACGTAACAAACCTAGAACCAAACAGTAAGAAACCTAATTGTTTTACTTAAAAAAATTGAAAAGGGGTACTAATATATTTACATTTTTTCGTTTTTGTTATTTGACAGTCACTTATGGTGTTTCTTGAAATCGGATGAATCGCGATTATTCCTTATTCTGCAACAACTTTAATATCTCAAGGAACTTTAGTAACTTACCTTTTATTTACAGCCTAAATCTTACCTTTTATTTACAGGCTATGAAGATAGATATTTATCCCAAAGCAGAAGACAGTATGGCTATGACCTAAATTATGGATCAGAATACATTGATAATCAGCAACTAGTTCACTTTTTTCAAAATGATCGATTGCGGAGTAGAAATAGAGGACGTTAATAAACTTAGAAAAAATGAATTTCTCAAGATTTATGATTTTTCACCACTCTAAATGCCAGACTAATATTCCTGACATTTAAAAGTAGAGAAATGATGTTTAAAGAGTTATAAATTTTTTCAACGGAAATATATATTGACGAAGAAATGTGTTTGAGCCTTTTTTAATTAATACTTCAATTGAATAAAGCCTTTTTATAAAAAAAATATATATAATTTGGAGTTTACTTTATTTCATCGATTTAAGACATTTATAATTAAATTTAAATAAAAAATATTTTAGATACGGATTTAAGCCATTTGTATTTCAAGGAAATTAAAAAAGAATTGAGTTATACTTTTCTAGTGAATTTTTATAGTTCTGTAAGAGTTATACATTTTGGAGCTCTTTAAACTGTATTATCGATTATGTATGTTGTAACGTTATTGTGAGGTTAAGTGGATCAATTTCTTTTTAAGAAATTAAGTTTCAAGTTATGTAAAAAAAGGAAAGCCTTTTAAATGGCTTTTTATGATTCTGTGACTGCCGTAAATTTTGGAGCTCTGTAATAAGGTTTAAATTTGCTGTAACCTTATTATGAGATTAAGTTTGAATAAAATAAAAATTATTCTTCTTAATTGAATTTTTTTATGATTCTGCAGCTCCAATAAATTTTGGAACTTATCAAATTCAAATTTGCTGCATCTTGATTATGGAAATTGGATCTACATTATGGTAGTTATTAAATTTGACTACACTATACTATGATATCATATTAAGCTTCAGCAAATGTTCAGCGTATTTATGGTTCAACCTACTGAAACTATGGTTCAAACAGGTACCGATTTCTTGGAGGAGTTGCTAATAATTGAGGTATTGTCAAAATCCAGTGATTTCTTTCTCTAAATATTCCATGGAAAATTTTAGTATAATTTGTGAGCTACTTTTAAAGCGTATTTTCCGATCATTAAAATATTTTGTCGTTTGTGTTCTTGTGCACAGCAAAATCTCCGTACTATAAAAAATTCCGGCAACTTGAGTGCCGGTACTTTTTACCTTAAGATCCATTTTAACTGAAACATGTTACGAAACAAAAAAAAATATTTGCCTTAATATTTACAGATGCATTTACCAAAAAAACACTGAATCACTCTAATTAAAATAAATAATGCTGTAAAAATTATGACGTAATATTTATATATTACGTCGTAAATATATTTTGCCAATGAAGCATTAAAAGTGCCGGTACTTTATGCGGAATTTTTTACAGTGTGAAATCTCCACAATCATCGAATTTTCATATAGTTATATTTTCTTTTAAAAAATTCATATCACATAGTGCTATTATCAAATTTATCAAAAAATCTACATCTTCACGCTTCGTTACATTTTCCAAAGCTTTTAAGGCTTATAAAAATCTCAAATAAATAGGAATATTCATTCAATCATTCTTTAACAAAACAAAAAAATAATGTATAACTCTATCAATAATAAAACAACCACCATTACATTTTAAATTCTATAAAAATTAAAAAAAGAATATTCTAAAGATTCTAAGCTTAAAAAATTGAATTCAAAAATCTGCTTCAAAAAAACATTTTTTCACTAAAACACTCAAACTCTTTCTACGGTGCAAGACATACGGACGTTTACAATTTATTTAATTTTGTTTCTCAAAAAATAAATAAATGAGTAATAAAATAAATAGTCTTATAACTAACTTCCACTGAAATGCAATGCTTTGAGCACGAGACTAATAAATATAATGAACCTTTCCAACCAAATTATAATTCCAATTACATTTCAAAGACAAAAGATAGCAGGTTTGTATATTCAGAGTTTCAGGCAGACTAGCCAATTTCACAATACAGGCTAATACAAAGCGCTTAAAAAGCCAAGAGAGATAAAAAAAATTGCTTTTAAAATTAGACCAACTACTCTCTTAGAATTTTAATCCCACATTTTGTCAACTTTAATGGTTTCTAGTTTAAAAAGTTTTTATTTAAAAAAAAACGGTCATTTTTTTTGACGGATATTAAAAGGAAGCAGAATATTTGAATCAATGACTTTGAAGACCAGTCATATCGAACAAAACTTATCTTTCAGGAAAGACAAAAGAACGGAAAAAATAGTTAAGTAGCAGCTTGATATATAGAGCTTTTTCTTACTTTTGATATTAAAATATGGCTGGTTACAAAATATTTTATTGTAATTGTGCGATAACATCACTTAATTTTTTAATTAAAAAAATAATTAGAACTTGGAGATAACCGATTTTTGGCAAAAATCTTAATACAGGCACTACGTATTAATTTTTTATAAGCGAAGATATAAAGACTTTATTTAAGTCTCAGAATGCATATTCATGGATATTTCTATACATTATGGATTAGACTATCTGTTCTGGGACATTTACAAATTTTTTCATAGAAAGCCAAAAATCTCGCTTGGTTTGCATTGTAAAAGCTTTTTGATGTCTGCAAATTTTCCAGCATATGCTTCCTTGAGCCATGAGGGTGTGAAAGTTGTCTTTCATGTATTCATCTCGATGAACAAATTTGACAAAGTCTTTATATTGTTCCGTATAAAGAAAGCCAAACATTTTAACAAAGAAAATGTTAAAATGTTTGGCTTTTTTTTATACGGAACAATGTTTCAGGAGTAGCATGATTTCATACTAATTTCATTCAAATTGTTTTGAAACTGCAATAAATTAGACAACATAGAGATTTATTAAACTTTTATTCTTGATTTAATTGATTTGGCTTAAATCAATTTTGACTGTTACGAAACAAAAGTAAAGACTTTATTTAAATTGTGGACCAAATCCTCTTATTAAAATCTTGAATTCTTACTATCACGCTCATGCGAGTCACTCCCATTTTAACCGGAACTCCTTCAACCTTTTTCAGCTGTCAATCAGCTGACACCACTAATCAGACAACATAGGAATATATTAAACTTTTATTTTTGATTTAATTGATTTAACTCAAAGCGCTTTTGACTGTTACGAGACAAAATAAAGCCTTTATTTAGCCTCCACACGGTCTTTCATAAGTAGTTCGCGTAGACCGCTTAAGAAGCGAACCAGTTGTGCGCATGTACCCAAAACCTTTTATAAAAGTAATTGAGAGAAATTTATCTTATATATTTGAGAATTGAATCTGTAGTGGTTGACAAGTGAATAAGGCAAGCCAATAATATTCATAAATAAAATAAATTTTTAGTCATATATTTGCTACCACTTTCTTTTTTTAACTAGATTCTGTATTAAATGACTCGTTCGGTAAGTGGATGTCCTTCACAGTGGTCTGATCGGACTACCTATAAAAACCGTGGGGAGGCTTTCAGTTATAGGAGGCGTTGATTTAGCACGTTGAATGCTACGCTAATTTCACCTGGCTTGCCCGTCTGGCCATACGGAAAATAACAATTAACTAAATTTGCAATTTTAAACAGATTTTGCTAGTTTTTTTAAAAGGTTTAGCATGACATATCTGAAAAAAGTGGTGAATCGTATAAGCCTACTAATTGTTTAGAAGTAGTGATGGATAAAAATCTACTAAATTGAATTTATTAAACCAAGGATCACAATTAATAAACTACCACTTGAAAATATTTATTCGCTGTCCGGAGCAAGCTGGCATCTCTGTGTATATAAGTAAAACTATTTTTGTGTGTTTTATATTGCATTAACCCTTTCGCGCCGACTGTCACAAATACGTGCCAGCATAAAACTGTATCAGCCAGGGTAAAAAGATAAAACTGGTAATCAAAGTAATTCTTTAGCAGTTTATTTGTGGGCGGAGTTATAATTGTTTGATTTATTTAATTCACCACTACCTTGTTCAAAATAAAATTATTTAGTTATACTTTGAATTAACATTGATTATATATATGATTAAACTAACAATAATTAAAGTAAAAGCAAAGTAAGTCTGTCAAATTAGAAGCGATTACATTTAACTTGCCGTTTTTTATTTAATTACGACCTGATCCTGATTTTGTACGAATGCTTTTACTGAATCACCCGTCCCCAAGGGGTTAAACACACAAAATGTTTTTTAAACCATTTTAGTAACGATAATAATGTAAAAACATAAAAAATTCACTCGAATTATGTGTTTCTAATGATCTTGGCTTCACCGGTTACCGGTGACCCCGTGGTGCTACGAACAAACTCAGTGCCGTTCACCGGTGACCCCATGGCATTCAACGTGCTAAATAGTGGACCAAATACTCTCATTAAAGTATTAAATGCATAATAGATAATTTTATGAAGCATTACAGATAAAGGAAAATATTAAAACATTCGACGTTTTTTTTATTTTTTATACGAAACAATGCTTCAGATGTTGGCTTGTATCATAATTTTATACTTTTTTTCATCGAATTCTCTTGAAATTACAATAAAATCTCTAGACAAACATGTATAATTACTTTGGTTGATTAGATGCTTATATTTCAAAACATTAATTTTCAAATTAGAAAAAAAAATCAAACAAGTGTTTTTTTATAAGATCAAATATTCAAATAGAGCTTTTATTCTTGTTGCAAGCCATGATTATTTACCTTTCAACACTACCACTTTAGCACAGCTATTTTTCAATAAACGTAAAGTACAAAATTTAAAAGCAATTGGTCGAATAGTTTCTGAGTTATCAAATTTCTAAATAAGTCGTGTATTTGAAACTTGATTTCTTCTTATTTTGAAAAAAGCTAAAATAACTAAATGCTTGTAAACGTATTTTGTTATTAATTGCATTCTGAAAAACTATAAGTTATTATTTTGCAATAAATAATTTGAAGAGTATTTCTAAGCGTGTTCAAATGCTTTCTCGAAAACAAATGTTCAAGTGTTTTACAATGTTTCTGTGAAATATCTGTTTTTAAAATTTAACTACAATCAATATTTTGGCTAAAGAAAACTATGCAAGTTTGGAGAGCAAAAAAAAAAAGTTTTAAAATGGGAAAAGATAGATAGAAGAAAGTATTGATATTGACGTTAAATCAGGATTATATTTTAAGTAAAAACTAAGTAGATAGAAAATTATTCAAATATAACGTGACCAATTTAATACTTTTTTAGTATGATAACTCAAAAAATAAAAAAAAGCTATATTTTAAGGCAATTTATAACGGAATTTCTTTTCCTTAACGTGCATACGCGTGTTTTCTTTTTCTCGCGGGGTTTCATTAATCTTATATTTTAACACGTTGGAATTTATGCTGTAATCTGTTATTTGATGCAAAGAACCGTAAACTGCACGCGAGTGTCAAACTAAAAAAGTTGCAAACGACTTGCGATGAATTTATAGTTTCAAAAAAAGAAAGAGAGAAAAAAAAAACATTAACATGTATACAACGTTTAATTTTTTTAGAACAATTTATAAGAAAAGAGCATCAAATAAAAATAATTTATCCTCTAATCTTTGCTTCTTTGAATAAGTTGATATTGAAAATGAAATTTTCAAGTTTTTGAAACTTGCCACTAATTTTTAAGTGTATCAAAATAATGATGAATGTCATAAGGCAACTAATTAAAATTTGATTACAGATCGAAATCTAAATTTAGATCAAATATTTATATTTATATATTTTAGAATAAATATTTATATTATTAATACATAAATATTGATCTTCATTATAAAATTATTGACAAAGTAATCTGCTTTCGGCAAAACAAAACACTTTTATTACCAACTCTAGGTTGGTTTCCTTTTTCGAAAATACAAAAAAGGTAACACAAATATTTCCTTTATAGCATTTCTTTAACTTGGAATTCATTTAAACTGTTTTTTAAGAAGTTTATTAGCAGGGCTGCCAACTCTCTACGCTTTCTGCAAAAATTTATTCTAGTTTTAACTAAGTTTATGTTTCAATGTGTCATATTTTATTCATTTAAACTTATTTTCGGTACCACTACATCTAAATGATTAAGTCTACTGGCAACGCCTCTTTGTTAAGGCTCTCTCGTGGAGAAGCTTTTAAAATGATGGCAAGACTTTGAAAGATTTGATTATGATTTGAAAGCTTTGAGTCTATAAAATATTTTGCAGAAAGAATAGTAGTTCGCAAGCCTGTATTAGTACATTGCATTAGAAAAAGAGAATCCATCTTTTAGTGTACCACCTCAGAGATGCCAACTGCTCCGGACAAGCCAAAATAATTAATAAAACGGTAGATAACTTCAAAGTAGATTTTGCAAATATTTGACTATTTTTGCTTGCTTTTTAAAAGGTATAGCATGTCATATGTACTATAAAGCGGTGAATTACATAAGCCTACGAATTATTTAGAAATAGTGGTGGATAAAAATCTACTAAATTGAATTTATTAAACCAAGAATCACAACTGATAAACTACCACTTTAAAATATATATTTGCTGTCCGGAGCAAGTTGGCATCTCTGCACTTTGCATATTTGAACCCCAGATTAATCATTTTTCGCTGATTATTAACAATACGTTATCGAAAAATGAGAATAAGAATGTTAAACGTTAGGCAGGGACTCCAACTACTACGGATTCTCCGTAGTTTCAGAAATTTTTTCTTTGTGGTAGCAAAGGTAATGTATTTATAGTTTAATAACTAAGAATTCAAAGAATTTTGTCTACCACTATACACAAGTAATTTAAACAGATGCATATAAAATCATATAGATGAATAATTAAAAAGCTCTTAAGTTCATAATGATACTTTTAAAATGTATGTTTGATTCGAGAAACTCTGATTTAGTTCACTACTACTGAAAAAAATAATTTTGAAACTGTGTTTCAAATTTACTACATTGGCCCATGACCAGAAACTTAAACTACTACTACGTAGTAGTTTTAGTTTCTGGTCATGTGCCAATATTTAAAAAAATGTTTTATCGATTTTGATGCTTTTCAAATGCATGAATTGTAAACAATAAAAGTAATAAAGATAACTACGTTTATTGAATATCTCATTTTTCATTCTTTCAATCGGTTATTTATTGATTTTTTTAAGTGTTAATTCTCCATTCTTTCTTGCGATTATTTGACGATCTATTTGGAAAATTCTTGTTTTGCTGATTTTTAAGTCTTACTTGAATTTAGAAGCACTGAAAATAAAAACATTTCGTTAACACCTTAAATGTTGGAAGGCATTTGGATGAGCTAGAATGTAGCAAAAGCAATGAATTATTAACCGCTTCGGGTTAATTGAGTTAATTGGGGTATGTATATAATGCAACTATTTATTATACCGAGAAAACTCAGGCGTTGTACGTTTTGTTTTATTACGTTTTTACTCGAAAAAAAAAAAAAAAGAAGAAGAAGAAAAAGAACTACTATGATTGGAAGTTTGCCAAGCTTTGTTAGGGAGTTTTGCTGGTGGATTGTGGGGCTGCACACGTGTTTTGTGTGATCGCATTTACGATGGTTGCTGAATTTACGCAGAGAAAAAAGTAAAATAAAAAATGGATTAGTCTGGTTAGTAAACTGATGGTAAATTAAATGTTTTTTATATATAAAAAAAATTATAATTTCCACTTTAGACTTGTGTATTATGTTTTGTTTTAGTTCCTTGCATTTATTGATGAAATAAAGAACTATGTCGATTTTTTGCATTTTTTTTCAAAAAAATTGGTAAGGGAGGCAGTTTACTTATTAAATAATTATTAAAAAAAGTTGTTCACTACAACGTATAAGCAATTTGAACACATATATATGAGATTAAACAGACGATAGCATGCTCTCCAATTACAACGGAATTTCCGTAGTTGCAAGATATATTTTTTAGAGGTAGATAAGCTGAGCTGCCTACTTTCTACTATTTTTGGGAAAACTTTTTCAAGTGGTAGCTAAGTGTTTGTTTAATGTATGATTTTTGGCTTTGTAAATTTGATTAAAAGTAATTTTTCAAGCCACTACATGTATATGGTTCAAAAGTTCATAAGAATCGCCACTTTGTTCCTACTCTGTCACAGGTATTATTCATAGGTATCAATCAAACTATGCAGTAAAACTCAAAAGATTGCTCTATTTCTATTTATCCATGATCCGCGCCATCCTTACTTGTGCCTCACCTGTCTTGACAAATATAACAACAACTAAGCTAAATAAATGAATTGTCTGCCAGAATAAAACACTAAGAAGGATTACATAAGCCAGATGGTTCGTAAGAAACGACACAATACACAACGACCTCAAAACAGATACAATAGACAAACATGCAGCTAAATTGAAAAGCCACCTCTGAAAGTCTATGAAAAGCCACCTCTTGCTCTGCTGCAAATTTCAATGAAATATTCTTATATGAAAATTTAACTGAAGACAAGAACATCAGACCAATAGCAGCATACTATTGCAGTGATGCATTATATTCCAGACATCAATAGCATATACATAAACTCATTTTCCCCCATACCAGCTTAGCTCAAGTTATACCACATATTTTTACATTATAGTCTTATCACCCTACTGTATATAACTACACTACAATGATCATCTATCCACATGAATACTCTTTTACTTCATTCTTCATTTCTTTTCAAAAAGTGACATCTTCTTATAGTTTTATATCTAATCACATTATGAATCAATTATAAATAAGGATTGAAGGAAATCCTTTTATTCTCTAAAACAATGTTTGCTAAATACGTAGGCAGCGCCAGGACTACAAAGATCTTTAGGACACGGATGTTCTAGTCCCAGTTCTTCTTTGGAGTCTGAAGATTGCCCTCTGATTGGAGACACAAGTTCTCCTAAGGTTCTGCAAGTTCCCCTTTATTCACACCTCAAATAGACGTATTTGCTTTAAGTGTAGAAAAAATAATTCGTACGCATTAAAAACAACCTCCATAAGCTGGTCGCTCTAAGATAGATTTCTATCAACATCAAAGCAACATTAACTGTGAATAAAACAACTTTCTACACCTTGATTATACCCCTAGGGAGGTTGATCTTTTAAGATTGCTTTTGAAATCAACTTCGAATAAACCTCAAATCAACCTTGACACTTCAAAAAAATCTCATGTGAATCTTAAAAAATGCCTTAAAAATTTGTAAGGGTGAAAACATTTTCATTAAAGAAATGTTTAGTTACATTTATTCATGTGGTAGCACTGTCCAGGAACTCTAAAACGCTTAAAAGGAGATAAAAAAAGATAATTTTTTATCTTCTTTTATAAAGGAACAGGGATCAGAAAGTTTGTCAAAAATTGAAAAAAAAATGTTAGTGAAATTGTTTCTTTTTTTATTTTATTCAAACGTAAGTATAAATAATATTTAATTTCGTAAGTATTAAATTTGAAGATCATTTCAAAATGTTCCTTCTAGTAGACATAACTGTAAAATTTATCTAGTAGCTGTTTAAACGGAATTTTTAGAACGCGAAATAGTTTGTGTATGCTATTTACCTAAAATGGAATACTTTACATTAATATTTTATGACTTGCATTTCAACATTTACAGCCTTCATTTTATTGTAAAATTCATTTAATTAAAGTTGACCTGTGAATAATAACCTGCGATTGTGCAAATAAGCTTTGTTTTAATAGAAGTAATTATTAACAGTTGCTGTTTAGATACACAATATGTGACATTTATGCTAACTCAGAATGGTATAAAAGCAGGAGCTTTGCAAGCACTTTCACAGTTTAGATTTGTCTCTAATATATCCGTAGTATTTATCTACATTCGCCAAAAAATGAATACCGCCATGAAAGTCTTCCTAATGGTTTTCGTTGTTGCTGTTGTCGCCCTATGTGCAGATGGTAAGCAACACTACATTGTTTATAACTTTAAATTATTTTAAAATAACATATCTCTATCACTATGACCTTATCATTGAATTCTACTTTTCACATTGACAACATTAATTAATATCATAATGGTATAAAAGCAGCAGCTTTGCAAGCACTTGCACAGTTTACATTCCTCTCTAATTAAATCGGAGGTATTAATCTATATTTGCCAATAAATGAATACCGTCATGAACGTCTTCGAAATAGTTTTCGTTGTTGCTGTTATCACCCTATGTGCAGATGGCAAGCAACACTACATTGTTTATAACTTTAAATTATTTTAAAATGACATATCTCTGTAACCATGACCTTACCATTAATTTCTACTTTTCACATTTACAACATTAATTAATATCCAGCCGCATAGTGGTTGTATTTAATACAAAAATTATCCACAACAGTTTTATAACACAAAATTGAATGGGGAAGAATGATTAAAAATTATTGTTTGTGTTGCTTTGATTCATCATTTCATTATCTAATTATCATTGAAATAAAGACTCATAATTCTTTGAGAATATTAATTAAAAAATTTTGAATCTTTTAAAAGATGCTTGCCTACAAATCGGTCAAGAAATAGCTGTTTTAGCCTAATTGCTGATCTACCAATCCAAATTAACATGTTTTGCAAGGCAGTAGAAGGCTTATAACTCGATAAAAAATTATTTAAATTTTATGCATCTTTCAAGAATGAGGGGACTCAATAGTTTTATCGTAAAGTTTTGGTTAAGCAACCAAATTGATGAGCTCTGAAAGTTGGTCTAGGGCTCACAACTCTTTGAAAAAAAAAAGAATTGGAAATGTAGAATTATTTCAAAAGATATATTCCTCGAAATAGGTGCAGTACTAGCTGTTTAATTGTAATTTTCTGATTTGTCAATCAAATTGACCAGTTCCGTAAATTAGTTGAAGGCTCATAATTATTTAAAAAAAATATTTGAATTTTATAAATCTTTTAAAAATGAGCAGAAACGATTGTTTTATTGTAATGTCCAGTTTGACAACCTAATTCATGAAGTCTACTAGTTAGTCGAAGACTCATAAATCTTTGAGAAAAAAAATCAGTTAAAACTTTAAAAAAATATGTTCCTTTAAACAGACCCAGAAATACCTATTTAATCGTAATTTTCAGATTTAGCTACCAAATTGACGAAATCCGCAACTTAGTAGAAGGCTCATAATTCCTTGATATGAAAATTAATTGAATTCTTGAAAATAAATAAATTGAATTTATTGAATCTTGAATGTGGCAGATTAAATAACAATAGGAAAGTAAAACTTTGATCACACTTAAGCGTAAAAATTTTAAATATCTGGGCCAAACTTCCGTGAATCAGGGTTCCTAAACGACGATTAGTTAACCAGTTAGGCTTGGAATTTAATAATTTCAAAAATGACCCACAGAGGGCAGAATTGAAATCGAGCAATGACGTGTATACACGTTGAATGCTGGGTAAAAAGCTATTAAAAATTTTGCGAAAAACTTACAACCTAGATCTTTTTAGCAGTTTTTAGATATGTATTGAGTTGTTTTTATTTATTTATTAATTTTTAACCAAAATAAGCATGGATAACAATCAGTATTTTTCTTTTCAGCCCAACGAAATGGATATGGCCGAGGAGGTAAAGAATTAAATTTTGATAAAAATTAAATATGTACTAATATTTTTTTTAATTGAAAATTGCCGAGAAAAGAATAATTAAAAAAACTTATTCTACAAGTGATAACAAAATGGTAGTAAAATTAAACTTTTCATTTAGTTCACGAAATTCATATTTCAATCTAGAAATTAAAATTTAATTTTGGTTTTTCGTAAACATTTAATTGTCAATTGCTGCTGATTTTGAAATTGAATCATGGGTCACGTCTTGTTTGGTGGGAGTGAGGTGAATTAGTGTGGTTAAATTTTTTATAAATTTGCCAATAAGGCTTACTAATCATTATTTTTGAACAAATCTAGTATTTTTAAACTTTAAAATTACTTTAAAATCTAATTTTTTTTTATTTTTATGTGACACAAGGTTCCGATGTATACATTTTAAGAAACACTTTTTAATTGTAGTAAAGGCAAAGAGTCAATTAAAACCACATTATTATAGATTCTTGCTGAATTTTATTGAAATTGCTTTTTATTGCAATTGTAATTGCTCTATCGTAATAACTTATAACTTCCAACTTTTTAGTTATTTTCACGAAAAGGCACAATGCAGTAAAATTATTCCATAGAAAAATAGTCTGAAAGTTTACTTAATAACAATCTCCACATCATGAATTTCATAATAAAGCGTAATGAAGTTCTCTTTTTAGAAGACAGTATTGGCTCGTTAGATGTAAAGTTGCAAGACGCATTGTCTATACTGCATAAATTTAAATGATATTATCCTTTTAAGTTGAAAATAAGATAAAATGATGTAAAGTCTCTAAATTCAAAACAGAAAAACCAAGAGTTGGGTTTTATGGGTTTCGCAAAAACCATATTTATGGGAAAAAATTTAAACCTCTCCAAAGAAAAAAATCGAGAAGAATACATGAAGTTTTTTATTAATTTCTTTTTGTATATTTTAATGATGAAAGTTAGATTTAAATTCTGCTTTTTTCTATGAAATATAAATGAATATTTAATAGCTTCATAAATAAAATGAATTTTAATAATCATTCTCTTTTACAGGTTACAATCGTGGCCAAGGTAAGATATATACCTTTAACCAAATAGGTGTCATTGAATGTTGTTCATGGTTAATGTAATTAAGTTAATGAAAGGAAAATTGATACAAAAGTAAACCTTATTTTTTATTTTTAGAGAAAATTCAATCATCAAATTCAATGATGGTTTTTTTCTAAAAAGCCTGTTTTCTATAAATTTAATTTAACTTTTACTTTTATTTACAGGCCAGCAAAATGGAAACGGTGGCCGAGGTAAGGAATATGATTTATTGATAATAACTAAATATGAAATTTAGAGGTGCTTCTTTTTCGAAAATTAATTTTTTACGCATCAATTTTCTGAATTTATATTAATTAAATTTAAAAGAATCTAATAATTATATGAAACGTCACTTTCTTCACTTAAATTATTTGAAAGTTGTTAAAGTCCTTCATAAAATGTTTTTTACCAATGCTGTTATACGCACCTGATACCTTTTTATAGTTTGAAGTTTTATTAAATTATAATTTTGCTTCTTTTTTATTTCTCTTGCTTGTTTAATCATCTCCTTAAAGTGCTGTTTTGGTAAATATTTTATTATGATTGCGTTATTTATACATTTTTTTTCTCAATTTTAATATAATTGGCTTTTTAAAAATAATTGGTGTTCACTTGTCCAATTTTAAAAACGTAATGTAAATTTAATTCAAATTTTTTTTCATTGCAAGCCTATCAAAATAACGAAATACTTAATAGTCCAACATTAAAAACTGCGTAAAAATTTAAATCAAATACCCTGCTTCATTAGGTAAATTTCCACTAAATCGGTAGATACATATTTTTAATAACTAAAAAATGGAATTTAATTTAAAGCGACTTCTAATTATTTTGTGAAACCTGAATAGTTATCAGCTCTTTGAACTCGAAGATGCCTCTCCCGCACCATAAATTAACAACCACTCTGAATGTTAAATGTTTCACACTTTTATGTTATGTAACGACATTATTTGATGTCCTTTATGTGTTTTATGAGCAAATTGTGAGCCGTGGTGGCTCAGAAGATAAGAGCGTTTGCTCTCTAATGAGAGCTGGTCTATACGAATTCTGTCCCTTGCTAGCCCCTTCCACAGTGCTGACGTAAATTATCCTCAGTGGCAGACGGATCATGGGTTTGAGTCCCCTTGCCGGGACGCTAATCATGAGAGTTTTTCTTGATATCAGCACTCAGATTAGTAAATAATTCATAAGTGACAGTAGTGCCTGATATGCACCTTTGGAATGCGAAAGGTTAAAAGGTTAATCCCTCACAAGGTGAAAAATGAACAGCAACTGAATCTCTAAATCTAAAGCAGGAAAAAGTAGTAGGGATCATCAGATTTCCAAGGGGCTGCAGGAATATACATATATATGTACCTTTTAACGATAGATATTTAATTCAGATTAAAATTTTTGTTATAAAAGTTAAATAATTGTTTAAATTTTTTTTGTTTATTGTGAATCTTAAATTCCATTTTTTTTTAATTATTCTTTTTTTTTGCAGGCCAATACATCCGATCTAATGGCCAAGGTAAGACAGATTATTTTTATCGAATAAGTTTCGAGGTGGGATGTGCCTTGATTTATCATGGGATTCATAGTTAATGCCCCTTAGTTTAGAAGCAGCCGTGGTGACTCAGGGGATAGAGCGTTCGCCTTCCAATGACATGAACCGGGTTCGATTATCAGCGATAGCTGATTAATACGAATTCTGTACCCGGCTCGCACCACCCATAGTGCTCAATATCCTCAATGGAAGATGGATCATAGGATAGAGTTCCTTTGGCAGCAGGCTAACCATGCACGTTTTTAGTCTCCATGCAAAGCAAATGCTGGTTAGTTCCATCAAAAGGTCCTCCACGAAGGCGAATTTCTCCCAATACTTACTTCATCCCGGATTTCTCTTGTCTTCTCGATTGGGCTCAAAATTACAAGGCTACGGAATTGAACATTAGTAGTTTTGAACCCGAAATAGGGTCAGCTGTTCAACGACGCTTATAAAATCTGATTATAAAGAAAAGATCTGATAGAAAAGAGAACCTTTTTCTAGAAAACATGCAATAACCAACAAAAAATTCTCAGATTCCTTATTCCATATAATTTATTTTTCAAAAAATGTTAATTTTAATTAGTAAATATTAAAAATAATATTTGCTAGTACTATTCAGTTATTTGAATTATGGCAAACTTTAATAAAAAAACTATATGTACTGATAATGAATAGAACTTTTTCTGACGAGGGAGTGTTCACCGGTATTTTGGGTAAATTTCCTTTAAAAGCTAGCAGCACATTGATTAATATAGCAATAGAGTCAAAGTTTCCCAACTGTAAGAGGGTAAAAAATGAAATTTAGCAAATTCCTTATGCGGTATAAGTTAATATATATGTTAGGCTTTAATCATTAATATAAGTATTATGAATTATGCATTTACCTACATACATTAAATATGTTTTTATGTGTTTAGTCATAGAGCAAAAAAATTTTTAAAAAATTATCCTTTTAGTTATATGCAATTATATTTTTTAAATAAAAGTATTTCATACATTATGCGAAATAAGAATTATCTTTTTAAATCAAATTTAACAATTGCTAAATGTTAAAAGCAAAATAGTAATACTTCCAAAATCTTTTTTTAAATTAAGAAATATTCTCTCTCATACAGTGATAAAATTAAAACAGTGTTAGACTGGGAATCTCTTTGACTTTTGTAATCCGTCAGTAGAATCTGTGTACTTTTTTATGAGGAAACTAACCACTGCAAAATTTGGAAATTTTGTGAACTTTGCATTGTAGAATAATTTCTTACGTAGTAAAACAATTTTTTTCATTGTAAAATAATTTCTTACATAGTAAAATATTTTCTTTGAAATTTTAGGAGGACGTTCTGGCGGTGGATATAGAGGATATGGAGGTTAGTAAATGTACCATAGCTTCTTAACATCATGTTTAATTTTGAAAAATATGAATTAATAGTAATTTAACGACATATCATAATAAAAATGTCTTAACAATTTTATGATAATGTATATCTTAACAATGTGTATAATATTGTTTTGTTACAGATGCTTAATACAGGCCGAGATAGCCAGGTTTGTAGGGTGTCGGGCCCATGTTCAAGAGGTAGTGGGTTCGATCCCTCATCGGCCGAGGACTCCCCGAGTAATAAATGGTGACTAGTGCACTCTAAATCTGTCTGGTCAAAAAGTCCTCCATGTTCCTATAACAAATCATACGTATGGGGGTGCTGAATTAGATAGTGATGGGTCTGGTTCAGGTCAAAATTATGATTTGTGGATGAATGAATTGATATCTGAATGGGTCCTCCCTACAAACGGGTTACGAGTTGTGTGGCTGAAATCTTAATCTTGGGCATAAATTGCGCCACTGAAAAACATGAAACACATCATCTGCCTTAAAATTCACTCAGGCTTGTTGATATTGGCAAGTGGCAATAGCAACAACAACAGATGTTTAATATGATGAATTGTTTTACAAAAACTACCTCTTATTTAACGTTGGACAAGAATTGCAAATAATATTTCTTCGAAGTGCTAAAATGATCTATTAATACTTTTTAAAGTGCTAAAAATTTATATTAATATTTTTTAAAGTGATAAAATTTTATATTATTATTTTTTGAATGTTCTAAAATTCTATGGATTACATGGAAACGAATTCCATGATTAAGTCCATGGTTTTATAAATTTTTGGTGGTTAACGAAAATAGTGATGAAGGTGAAAGATATCTAAGGAATCAAAATACATATCTTAAATCAAATATATCTTGATAAGGCTCTAGCCTATCAGATATTTAAACGTTGATGCGTAGTCTTAAAAACGAATTTCAACTGGTTTAAATTCATATTTTCCAGCGCTAATTTAACACGTTTACGCCGGGTGTTACGCCTGAAAGCGGGACGGAAAAGAGAAAATACTGGTAGAAGAACTATTTCAATATTAGATAATATTCGGGAGGAGTTAATCTATTCTCAACAATAACAATTCACTGTAAGGAAATTTATCATGGCGAAGAAGCAATTCAATATAAAAATTGCATCCGTTAAAAACAATTGATAGTTATGGATTTTTATTATTCCCGGAAAAAAACTAGAAAATGAAATTTATTTGTTACCAGTTTTTACTCCGTTGCGCCTCCCGATGAGACAATCTAGCGTGACCCACCGGTGGGTCACTCCGGCGTGAACGAGTTAAACTTGTTATTCTAGATGAAATATAAGAAATGTAATTGTTTCAAGTGTCAGAACTTCATACTTCAGGACATAATGCAAATAGAATTTCTGTTTTAAATAGTTTTGGTGAAGCAGGATTTTTTCTGTTAATTTGACATGAATTCTATGTAATTAATACCCCTGATACAAATTTTACTTTACTTTATTAACAAATAATTGGGCACCTGGGCAACTTAGCGGCCCCTATCCCATACATCTAGAAATTTACAGAAAATTTATAGTAATAACGTTTTGAATTTAGCAGTCGATGTGGTAGCTATGATACAAATTAGCTAGGCTGTCAACCTTATACGCTTTTTGGGAACATTTCTTCTAGTGGTAACTAAGTTTGTATTGCCACATTCTTCAAGGTTTCTTGTGATAAGGCTTTTAAAATGTTAGCAAAATTACAATCAATTCTGAAAGATTTGCTTTCAAATCTAGGATTTGTTCTCGAACCAAATATCTATCACTCTAAAATATTTTGCAAAAAGCGTAGTAGTTGGTAGACTTGGATTAATATGGAATAATACTATGAAATGAAATATTCTGTTAAATAATGTTTGGCATATTTTGCAAAGTTTCATGAAACCAAATTATTTATTTCAGGAAGAGGACCTGCTAACCAAGGTGAGATTAAATAATGATGCAATTTTTCTGTAATATCTATTATATTTGTGTATATATACCAAAAAATAACTAATCATTTGTCCGCATAAAAGAATAAAACGAGGTTGGATGGAAAAAAATGATGGCAACTAGGTTAAAAGTTAGCTATAAATGCATTAAGTTTAGAAATGAAGCTGAAATAATGGGAAATAATAATTAAAATAAAAATAAAATTATAATGTTAATAATAAAAATAAAATTTAATTAAAATAATAATTTAAAAATAATTAATAAATTAAATAATAATTAAAAAAATTAAATATCAACTTATAGTCATGAACATAGCTGATGGACATAGTCATCCTTTTGTTTATGCTGCATATTCAATACCTTTAATCATATACCATAGATAACGCTTCTTCATGTTGTAGCCCGCGTTCCACCTTTTAAAAGGACACTAGGGGTAATAAGGAACACTAGGGACACTAGGGCACAAATGGGTAAGGTCTCTCTGACCGTACGGTCTGCAGCGTGGACATAGTGGGCCTGACTGCCGCCGCAGCACTAGATGTATCGCTATGATGTCCGTCTTTATTTGTAAAACATAAAGAGCTTTATGCATTTTCAGTAAAAATTAAAATTATTTAAAGTCTGTATTTTAAGAGTCAGGATATTGAATAAATATTATGATTTTCATCGAAATAAAATGTTCCATGTAAAATTGAGAAAAAGAATATTATGCTAATTGCCTAATATGAGAAATAGCCTAAGTATTTAGTTTCTTTTGCACAACTGGAGGAATTTCCGGTATATAATGTTTGGATATTCTTTTTTTAAAACGTGACATTGTTTCTACAAACTGCTCCTTAGTTTTTTTTCTTCCTGATAGCTACTTAACATGTTTCCAGAGTTTTCCCTACAGATTAGAACATCATATTTCCACTCATCACTGGAACATCATATTTCCTACACGGAAATCGTGATAATTTTTACACATAACGCTCTTTTGAAAATTTGAAAATTCCTCATTATCTCATGACTTATCATTATGTTACTCAATCACTTTTAATTATTCTTTGCATATTAAGTTCACACTGTATAAGTTTTCCATAGCTTATGACTTGTATGGTTGTTGAGGAAAACTTTTCTTAGTAATAGCAACATTTGTCTTTAATGTATGAATTTTTGTATTTAAAGTTTCAAAAAATATTTACCCATCATGTAAATTGGATAAAAATCCAAACATGTATATATATATATATATATATTTTTTGCAAATGTGATTGAAGAAATACACATTAATCACGTGGTCCAGTTCTTTCAACACCAATGTTTCAGTAAGTTTAAGAACAGTTGCCCGGTATGCACTAACAAATATTCCNTATATATATATATATATGTCAGGGGTTGGTGAAACTTCAATTCTAACTCTATGTAAGCAATCTTCCTTTTAGCAGCAAATGTTTTGGAGGATTTTATAAGGCAAAACTGTTGGCACAATTTGAAAGGTTATACTTGAAGCTTTTCGGAATAATGATATATTTATCCATGCAAAATTTACATAGACCTAAATGAGGACAGGAAGTTAATTACTTTCTAGCTTTTATTCCAGCTTTAATACCAGCAATTTTGAAGCCATTCTATAGGATTGCAACATTTATATTAGAATACTTTTTTTTAATTAAAGTGGTACTGAAAAAGCTTTTGACTTCCTATGCTCATTTTAGTCGATACAAATTACATATAGGTAAATAGGACTCTATTACGATAACATCAAGCATGATCTTTCAAATTGTGTAAACAGTTTTGCCGTGTAAAATCTTTCAAAACATTTTCTGCTGTAAGAAATTCATATGGAGCTTACATAGAGTTAGCATAGATCTTACATAAATGCTTACATAGATAGAGCTTGCATAGATAGATCTTGCATAGATAGAGCTTACATAGATGCTCATATAAAGTCATTATAGAAGTGTTTCCATATTTGTGTCCTACCCCTGTATACAAGATCTGTTATTTAGGTAGTTATCCTTTTCAGTGCTCTTACCTCTTTTTAAGTTTTTTTCTAACAACAATGCAAGTAATCAGCTATGACTTTTATTAAAACTATAAACTATAATTTATCATTTTTTAATTGTTTGAATTGAACTTTTTAGCTAATCAAGGAGGAGATCAATCCCAAGGTAGTGGCCAGTCTGCTTTTAACGTTAATTATGGTACAGGAAATGTTAATAATGATCAAGGAAACCAAGCATCACAGCAAGGAAGTCAACGAAGCAGAAATGGAGGAAGATCTGATTAGACATCAGAGGATAGCTATACCAAAGGCACCGAAAATTTATTTTTCCAAAAATTTAAAAACAAATTTTAAATCAATCTGTAGCAACTCATGAATAAAGTATTTTGCAAGACATTACTCTGCGAAATTGATTTAATTAAAACTATATTTTAACAAATTATTTTTGCATGGATTGAAATGAGAAATTAAGCCTCAAATATTGTTTCATCAATTAAAAATTAGTTGGTTGAAAATACTAAATTAATTGCCTTTAGTTTTAAAACACGTTTACCGGTCTGTGCAAGGGTCACGGAACTGGTCTTGCATCAGAAAAGTTCTGGGTTTGAATCCCGGGCCACATATGTTCCTTCATTCTCCGTACTATCTGTCCTTACTGTGGGAGCAACGTTAGCCGATTTAATATAGTGCGTCTGAAAGAGATCCCAACAATTCTGCCTGCTACAAGATGCCTGTAGGACCTAGCTCATTGTCCAAGTGGACATTGGAAAAAAGTTTTAAAACACAATGAAATGCAGAGCTGCCAGCTTTATTCGCTTTTTGCAAAAAATTATTCTGGTTGTACCTAAGTTTGTGTTTTAATCGATTATTTTTTATTGATTTGAACTTATTTTCCACACCAATACATATAAATGATTTAAAGTTCCATCTAGCTCTTTCGTGGTGAGGGTCTTAAAATGTTGGCAAAATTACCAAAAATTCCGAAAGCTTTATTTTTTGAATGTCTTCCTTTCTGTAAAATATTTTGTAAAACGCGTAGTAGTTGGCAGGGCTGGAAATGTATCAATATAAAGGATGTTCCGTAATCTTTGTGGTTAATCCTTTTCGTTACTGTGCTGACAGTCTGTCGACACTAATTCAACGAATTTCACAAACCACTAAAAATGCAAAGCTTTTAAACATTTAGCAACCAATTAGTCAAAATTACAATTGATGTTTGATGTTTATAGAAGGGTTAATGTATTAGTCTAAAAGAAAGCTCTCAAGCCTGCCAACTACTACGCTTTTTGCATAATGTTTTATAAAATGGTAGACAATTAAAGCCCAAAACTTTCAGAATTATTGGTAATTTTGTCAAGATTTCAAAGCCTCACCACGAAGCTAGAACAAAGTAGCGTTGAAATGAAGTTTTAAATCATTTGTATACAGTGGTGTGGAGAATATGTCCAAATGAATAAAAAAAAAGCATTAAAACATAAACTTAGGTGCCACTAGAATAAATTTTTACAAAGAGAGTAGAAAGTTGGGAGCCCTGAGTTCTCTTGGAGAAAGTGTACGCTTTTTTCGCTGCAATAATGCAAAAGGTTTTTTTAAAAAAAGAACACAGAAAAGGGTGTTTACTCTTTAACTCAATGGTAGTGTTTTAGCTTAAAGAGACCCCAGATAAGACTCCAATGAGCATATGCATTCATATTCAAACTTGTAACGAAAGTAACCGACAGAACAATGCGGTTCATATGCCAAATATCCAAAAACTTTTTTTTCTTCATAAAAGCAACTAGCGTCATTGCATAATGGCGGTATTTTCTAAGAAAGAATTTTTCGGTCAACCGATTATTATACTTTATTATTATTATTTTATTATTATTACTTTATTATTATTATTTCTATATTACGCTTTTGGAATTTTTGGTCATGTTTTGGTAATCTTTTCACTACATGTTGGGTAATTCATTGTTGGAACTAGTAGTATTTGGCATTTAAAGTGGTGGCAATATCCCAAAAATAGCTGAAAATCGATTATTTCCTCTACAATTGTATTTCAAATATTTTTTACGGCCTGTTGAGTAATTCATTGTCGGAATGAGTAGTATTTGACAGATATGGTGGTAACAAAATCCTAAAAATAGTCAAAGAGTATATAATTCCATCTGCAATTGTATTTAAATAACTTTTTTACGGCCTGTTGCGTAATTAATGATCAGAACGAATTGTATTTGGCAGATATGGTAGTGGGAAAATCCAAAAAATACTGAAATTTTTTTTCTTCAATACGTTTATTGCCAGTAGGTGGTTATAATATACTATCATTGAGGAGTGGTAATCTAAAAGTCATTAAAAACATTAATGTCATTAAAATTAAATTTTATTATTTTAGCGACCATTTTAGTTTATAAATGTTATTGTTTTTTTCTCTTGTTCAATTTTGCTTTTTCAGTTGAATTTTTAGAGTGGGGTAGTAAATTTTCTGATTCAATACTTTATAATTGATTTAATAAATGATATTAAGAATTATTTTTTACATCACTGAAGGCAAACAACTGAAACATATATATATATATAAACTATTTTTTTGCAAAGAAGTACTTTAGAGAGGCAAAATTAAGCAAATTAAGTTTAAGTTAAATTCTTATTTGTCTACCGTTTTAAATATTCTAGGAAGCTATGCAAAAAGTTATTTTGATAAATAATCTATTATTGTCACGATAGAACATCATATTTTCTGCAAAAATAGTTGGATAATAATATGCATCTTGTTATGACTTGATCTGAGTTTTTGACGCAAGCTATAGGGAAGAAGTTTCGTTGTATTGCGTGAACCAGCAACGGACTTGTATATTCCTTTGTTTCTAGCGTCTTTTTCTTAAACGGTTCTTTCTACTAGAAAAAAAAAACGGGAGCAAAAGTGTTTTAATATTAAGGTTATTTTTCGCAGAAACAAGATATGTCATCATGAAAGTTAATATACATTACAGTTCTGTCTATAACATAAACGTTTCTCAACATGTGCAAAGTTACCAGCATTTGCACATGTTGAGAAACGTTTTTCTTGATGGTCGTACGATTATATCAGCGTTGATAACTGCAGTATTTGTTTTAAAATTCAATATTGTGCATGTTAAAGGATATAAATGTATGTTAAAGGATAAAGATCAGACAAGAGCAGAAACTTGAATAAAAAGAGCAAAACTCATATTTTACTACCACTTTAAACATATTAGCATCTTCGGAAAGTACCAACATATTTTCGATAGGCGGAGGTCCCAAGGGTTCACTAAAAATATTCAAGTGGTAGAAAAATTTATACTATAAAATATATTTTTAGGTTTTAAAATGCATCACTAAATGCTTTTGGATGCTACTTTGATTTGAAAACATATCTCAAAAATAGAAGTAGTTTGAGGAGAAGTTAATAGAAGTTCTTTGATGAGAAAAATTGATGTTGAAAATTATTACTACCACTTGAATATTTTTAATGGACCTTTTGGAGCTCCGCCTATCAAAAAACAGGATGAATGATCCAATATTTCGGTCTATCAAAATATTTTAACAAAGCTACAAACATATGCACTTGTTGTGAAACGTTTCTATTAGGAGCACTATAATTTTAAGAGCTTTGATATGTATTATGAATGTTTTTAAATTCCATAAGCACATAAAACAAATTAAAATGATTAGCAATGTTTGTTTGAATTTTTTCATATTATAGTAGTCAAAGTCAAATCAATTCCCGTTTATTAAATCAGGTGTGAATTATCAAAAGATAAATTTTGTTACGACTTTAGATATAAAAAGAAAATTTTCAAGGATAATTGAGAGAATTAGCAGCTGTGTATTAATCCAGAGATGCCAACTGCTCCGGACATGCCAAAGTAAATAAAAAAAAAACGATAAATAACTGCAACAAAATTTGGCAATCATTTGACTATTTTTGTTCGCTTTTTAAAAGGTATAGCATGAAATAACTACTACAAAGTGGTGAATTATATAAGCTTACGAATTATTTAGGAGAAGTGGTAGATAAAAATCCACTAAATTGAAATTATTAAACCAAGAATCACAATTGATAAACTACCACTTTAAAATATTTATTTGCTGTATGGAGCAAGTTGGCATCGCAGATAACTGAATGCATATTTTTTCTTATTCGGATCTAAATTTAAAAAAAAGCAGTGCTTGTTTAAAGTTGTAAGAAAGAAAAAGAAATATCCATTTGAGTACCTCCCAACTTTCACTCTTTTTGAGAATGGATATTCTAAGTCGTAGCAAAACAATTACCGAAAAATAATTATACTCAAAAATAAATTTATATTTTGATAAGGTTGAAATTCGCTAACGTAACGACTATTATGCTTTTATATATTTGTTGTATTTACTTATATGTAGNAATATCCAAAAACTTTTTTTTCTTCATAAAAGCAACTAGCGTCATTGCATAATGGCGGTATTTTCTAAGAAAGAATTTTTCGGTCAACCGATTATTATACTTTATTATTATTATTTTATTATTATTACTTTATTATTATTATTTCTATATTACGCTTTTGGAATTTTTGGTCATGTTTTGGTAATCTTTTCACTACATGTTGGGTAATTCATTGTTGGAACTAGTAGTATTTGGCATTTAAAGTGGTGGCAATATCCCAAAAATAGCTGAAAATCGATTATTTCCTCTACAATTGTATTTCAAATATTTTTTACGGCCTGTTGAGTAATTCATTGTCGGAATGAGTAGTATTTGACAGATATGGTGGTAACAAAATCCTAAAAATAGTCAAAGAGTATATAATTCCATCTGCAATTGTATTTAAATAACTTTTTTACGGCCTGTTGCGTAATTAATGATCAGAACGAATTGTATTTGGCAGATATGGTAGTGGGAAAATCCAAAAAATACTGAAATTTTTTTTCTTCAATACGTTTATTGCCAGTAGGTGGTTATAATATACTATCATTGAGGAGTGGTAATCTAAAAGTCATTAAAAACATTAATGTCATTAAAATTAAATTTTATTATTTTAGCGACCATTTTAGTTTATAAATGTTATTGTTTTTTTCTCTTGTTCAATTTTGCTTTTTCAGTTGAATTTTTAGAGTGGGGTAGTAAATTTTCTGATTCAATACTTTATAATTGATTTAATAAATGATATTAAGAATTATTTTTTACATCACTGAAGGCAAACAACTGAAACATATATATATATATAAACTATTTTTTTGCAAAGAAGTACTTTAGAGAGGCAAAATTAAGCAAATTAAGTTTAAGTTAAATTCTTATTTGTCTACCGTTTTAAATATTCTAGGAAGCTATGCAATAAGTTATTTTGATAAATAATCTATTATTGTCATGAGAGAACACCATATTTTTTTCAAAAAATAATTAGATAATAATATGCATC